CCCCCCGCCCAACCCCACGTGCTTAGGGGCTCTTCCCAGACCCCAAATGCAGCCCCAGCACGGCATGGCCCCAGCGCACACCTAGCATCTAGGTCCGTGTCCTCTCACACCAAGTCCACTGGGTGCTTCCTGGCCGGTGGTCCTCGGCATCTTCTGGAATGGGCAATGAAACTGCTGGCTGCCCAGGCCCGCGCCCTCTTGCTCAGCCCTGTCGCTGAATATGTATCTCAGGCCCAGCAAAGCGGATTTTCTGTGCTGGATGACAGAGCAGATAAGCTTGGTCCCTTTGGGCAAGGCCTGCCCCTTTAACCTGCACTCAGCCCGCCCTGTGTGCTGAGCATAAAGGAGAGGAGCAGGCATCGGAGTGGCGTTCGGGTGCTTTGCAGAGCTGTGGGCTGGAGGGGTGAGAGGCGCAGGCATCCCACGCACAGTGGAGTGTGGCAGGCGCAGTCCCCGGCAGGGGCGCCGCTACCTCGGGCACACCCACCCACCTGCTGCCAGAACGAACGGGGGCAGAACGCACACAGGAACACAGCTGAGGTTGGCTTGATGTCATATTCTCCGGAGCACGCTGTTACTGTGTGTTTTAGGGGAGGCAGAATGAGAGTTCATGGAAATACAGCTCAGCCTGGGAAACATGGCTTGTTAATACAGTGTTTTGTGTATGGAATCCAAGGAAGAAAAGTGAGAACGGAGAGCTAATCCAGCCACAGCTTATTTAGAATATAAAAAAAGAAGGTGCTAGAGAATACACTGCCTTATGCCCGCAGGCTAACTTTTATGGGCACCTTTCCCCTCGGCTGGCCGGTGGTTCAGTGAGAGAGCTGGCCCAGAGGACAGGGGCCTGAGGGGAAAGGAGGGCGGGAGGCTCGGATCCATGCCGGAAGGCAGCACACCGCTGTCCTTGCTGGCCAAGCTGCCTCTCCCAGGGCTGCGTGTGCAGACTGGCGCGGGGCGAGGCACGCAGTGAACATCTGATGCCTCAGCACCTCAGTGAACCCCAGCAATTCTGCAAGGTCCATGCTGTCAGGCCCCCCCATGTAGACGGAGATCTGGGGCTTGCTCAGTGAGGTCCCAGCAGGCAGAGACGGGGTCTCTTTTGCCCACTCTGCTTGGAAATGGCTGCCTGTCGTAAGAAAGATCTGGTTCATCAAGGACAAGGTGCATGAGTGATTCGTGATGTCTGCCTTGGTTCAGGAGGAGGACGTGATGACAGGCTTGTCACAGATTTTTATATTCCCCAGATTAAGTGACTTGCCCAGCTAGTGAGTGGCAAGCGACAGAGCTTGGCAGGGAGCTGAGGTCTGTTGGGTTTTCTCTGGTTTTCTCAGCACTGCGTCCCCTGCAGAGTGACATCTGTCTCCCTTTGATAGTATGTGATAGCCGTCCAAGGGGGCTTCCCGCAGCTCCCACCACCCATCCACTTGCCTTTGTAACAACCTACTCGTGACCTGCTACCAGCCTGCAGTAAGCAGGCACATGTCACCGTCTTCACCACGGCATCACCCTCGGATGCCCCCTCCGCCTGGCCACACGGCGGGTGAGGCAGGACGGACACTCAGGGTGTATCTTATGCACAGAAATGTGCTCAGTAAGTAGCTTAAGATGCATGAATGAAGGAATGCATGTTAATTTCCCTGGTGGTATAGTTCTGTGACATGTCGTGGTGGTCTGGCTTGCGCTGCCCAGTAGAATTTTCTGCAGTGATATAAGAACTTGAAATGGGGCTACTGAAAAACTGCATTTCATTTTATTATTTATTTTAATTGAGATACAGTTAACACATAACATTATATTGGTTTTAGGTGTACAGTGTAGTGATTTGATATATGTATATATTGTAAAATGATTACCGTAAAAAGTTTAGTTAACATCCACCACCATATAGTTACAAAAATGTTTTTTCTTGTGATGAGAACTTTTAAAATCTACTCTCTCAGCACCTTTCAAATACATGCTGCAGTGTGATTAACTGTAGTGACCGTGTGCTCCTGCCTCCCCAGGACTCATGTATCTTACAACTAGAAGTTGGTACCCTTTGAGCACCTTCACCCATTTGTCCCCCCACCCCCCACGCCCTGCCTCTGGCAACCACCCATCTTTTTTCTGTATCAATGAGTGTGGTTTTCGTTGTGTTTGTCTTTCGGATCCCACATATAAGTGGGATCTTGCGGTATCTGTCTTCTCTGTCTAACTTACTCCACTTAATCATGAAGCCATTAAGGCCTGTCCATGTTGTTGCAGATGGCAGGGTTTCCTCCTCCTCGTAGCTGAATAATTCCATGTTGTGTACATGTACATGTGTACATATGTGTGTATACACCTATATTTAGATAAACATAGACATGTTTATTGCATGTCACATCTTCTTTATCCATTCCTCCGTCACGTAGGCTGTTTCCATGTCTTGGCTGTTGTAAATGGCGTAACTTACTCCACTTAATCATGAAGCCATTAAGGCCTGCATGTCCATGTTGTTGAAGATGGCAGGGTTTCCTCCTTTTCGTGGCTGAATAATTCCATGTTGTGTACATGTGCATGTGTACATATGTATGTATACACCTATATTTAGATAAACACAGACATGTTTATTGTATGTCACATCTTCTTTATCCATTCCTCCGTCACGTGGGCTGTTTCCATGTCTTGGCTATTGTAAATGGCACTGCAGTGAGCATGGGAGTGCAGGTATCTCTTCAAAACAGTGATTTATTTCGTTTGG